AAATAAATGAATAAAAAAAAAAAAAGAAGTAGGGTCAGCTGGTGACAAAGCATCCAGTGAGAGATGATGGTGTGGGGTCTTGGACTGGGGGGGTCAGCTGACATGGTGAACTTATTTGATATGCATTTTGGAGATAACAATAGTTGGGACTTGATGCTGGATTAAATGTAGAGATAAGGGAAAGGAAGGAATCAAGATAATTTTCAGGTTTCTGGCCTAAGCAGATACGTGGGAAATGATGCCATTTCCTGAGATGAGCAAGACTGGAAGGAGCAAGGAAATTCGTGTTTGGTTTGGGTAGTGTGAAGTTTGACAGGTTTGTACCCAAAGATACTCAAGGATAGGTGTCAAGGAGAAAATTGGGTATAAGACTAGGAATCAGAGGCAAGACCTGGTAGTGGAGATTTTTGGGTGGATCTTAAATCACAAGAACAGATGAGGCGATTTAAGAAAAGAGCCTCATCTGAAGACCTGAAAACATTTTATATTTAGAGAATGGATAAAGGAAAAGTATTCAGTGAAAGAAGGACGAAAGGAATGGCTTGAGAAATAGGAAAGCAAAGAAAGAGTGATGGCACAGAACCCGAGAGAGGAAAATGTTTCACGATGGTGAATATTGACTGCTGCTTAAAAGCGAGTGATAGAGGAATATAGGATCAAGGGTGATTGATTGATGTTGTTTCTGGGGTTTTCCTTTGTCTTTAAGGTAGAGGAGAACAGATATGTTTGCGTGTGGATGATAATCTAAGAGAGAGACTGATGATGAAGGGGAGCTGGGAGAGTTGAAGTTCCTGATAAGGTAAGAGAGGAAGAAATCCAGAGCTGTTGGTCACACAACCCCAGGGGGCACCATTCACATTGCATTCAGAAGTCTTGCTTCAGGAGGTGAACCCCTGAAGATCACCTTTCAAGTAGCACTCCCTGGAGTGAGCAAGGAGCCTGATGCAGGACTCGATCCCAGGAGTCTGGGATCATGACCTGAGCTGAAGGCAGACACTTAACTGACTGAGTCACCCAGGTGTCCCAAGTCTGTAGCTCTTAAGGTCAGACAAACCCAGGTTCAGCCATTTACTAAGTACAGTATATGACTTGGGGCAAATTACTTAATTCTTCCAAACCCCAGGATCTTTATTAGTAAAATAGGACTTCTAAGACCTCGTATTGCAAAGGATTGTGGCAAAGATTAAGTTTTATGAACCTATGTAAATTGTTTAGCGCAATGTCCTAGCATGTAGTAGGTGATCAACTGTAGTAGGAGCATTTATCATGAATTTACTATGAAAACCAGAAAGTGCTACTCACATGAAAGGCGTTACTTTTTCTTCCTCCCCGCTTATCCATGTTTCAGTACATACCAAAATGAGAAACTAAAAAATCACAAAGACTTTGCTGCATGAAGTTAAATTTTAGAAACTGGATGAAACTGCCTTACCGGGTTGCTAGGTAAAGTTTTCTTCCAAGATATTTTTGGCTTCTTGTCTCCTCCCTGGAGAAATTTTTAAAATAAGTTATTTGTTAAAGCGAAGTGTGAAGCCAGGATGCTAATGATGTAAAGTACCCAGGGGAGACACACTTTTATTAGATTTTCACTGGTTCACAAGGCAGAAAAGATTTTGTTTCTTCAGTATTAAGAGCTCTTTGGCTACACATCCAAAGGCAAGGGTTTTTCTGTTGCAAGCACGTTTCCTCACTGGCATAATTTTCGGTTATTTCAAGGTGTTAACCAATAATAGCCATGGGGAGAATTTTGATGCTTAAGCAATTTAAGAGGTTAGATGCCTGGAAAAAAAAAGTCACCCTTGGCTTAGTCCTCAGAGGAATGTGGGGGCATAACAGTTTAATTAGGTCTTAGTGAAACAGCAAACATTGTGAGAGGGGCAACAGCAGTGAGACTACACCATCCTCACCTACCGGGATGCCTCTGTGCAGGGAGAGCAGCTACAATAGAAGGTAGAGCCGGAAGACAAACACGTGCTGTGAAAATAAGAAACTCTTTAAAGAGAAATCTCTAAAGCAAAATCCTCAGGCAGCATTTTTTCATTCACTCAGTAATATTTATCAAGTCATGGCATTGTGGTCAATCCTACAGAGGGATTCAAAGAATCATCCTGGCTCACAGTCTGAGATAAGATATATAAGTATGATATGGTTTAGAAAGGGATGCATGATGGTTAATCCGACTTCTTCAAACTCTTTCCAAAATCAGTGATAGGAAAATATCCAAGTGACCTTTCAGAACACACACACACAATATTTTTTTAATTATTTATTTATTTGGGAGGGGGCCACAGGAAGAGGGAGAGAGAATCTCAAGCAGACTCCCGGCTGAGCGCAGAGCCTGACACAGGGCTCCATCTCACAACCCTGAGATCATGACCTGAGCAGAAATCAAGAGTTGGATGCTTAACTGACTGAGCCACCCAGGCATCCCAATAGTGGAGTACTTTTTTAGAATATTAAATACTGTGTGTGTGTTCTTCAGCTCAAGTCATGATCCCAGGCTCAGCGAGGAGCCTGCTTCTCCCTCTCCTTCTGCTGCTCCCCCTGCTTGTGCACTTTCTCTCTCTCTCTGCCAAATAAATAAATAAAATCTTTTTAAAAATTTTTTTTAAAAAATAGGGGCACCTGGGTGGCTCAGTC